GAAGCTACAGTTGCTAGTTGATGTGTACAGACGAAGGACATAAACAAGATCCAAAAAATGTATTCTAACTCTGTAATGTAGTTCATAAACCATCTATTCAATAATTCATCATTAACAAATATAAAGGTTCCAGTAGATCGGATATTAAAGGATATCATAGCATATCACTCCAAGTAACCTAGTGAGCTCGTACAAAGTATCTTATTCTATTCAGAGAAAACTATTACTACGAAGAGCCAAAAACAAAATACCTTTGAAGATGTATTTTAACAGTGTTTTGTCCACCAGGGAAATTAAAATAGCAATGTCCTACTTTGATACTTATCCTATAAGTTATTATCATGATAAAGACAGACACAGTCAACAAATGACTTGTATACATATTCCAAACTTCACTTTGACTAGCCAAAAATATAGAAATTAGAATATTTTAAATGTATTACTAGGTGTCACTAGTACAGTTATTGTTGAGATATATCTTTCAGCCGGTGTATATGTTTAGTAATTTGGGGAAAATAGGACATTTTACGATAAGAATAAATTCGCAAAAAACAATCGCATAAGCATATTATTATAGGAATTAATTAAAAAATATTACTAGGTGTCACTACTAAAATATAGACTGCAAGTTATTATTCCTCTAAATAAGAACCGGTGTAATATTTTAACACTTAACACACACACCAGTACAATATTTCAAACACTTAACACACACAACAGTACAATATTTCAAACACTTGACACACACACCAGTACAATATTTTTAACACTTAACGCACACACCAGTACAATATTTTTAACACTTAATACACACACCAGTACAATATTTCAAACATTTAACACACACACACCAGTACAATATTTCGAACACTTAACACACGCACACACACACACCAGTACAATATTTTTAACACTTAACGCACACACCAGTACAATATTTTTAACACTTAATACACACACCAGTACAATATTTCAAACATTTAACACACACACCAGTACAATATTTCGAACACTTAACACACGCCAACAAAATATGTTAATATTAACACACACCAATACAATATTTCAAACACTTAACACACGCCAACAAAATAGTTTAATATTAACACACACCAGTACAATATTTCAAACTGGTGTCTGTTAAATGTTATAAATATTGTACTGGTGTGTGTTTAGATTAAAATATTATGTTGGCGTGTGTTAAGTGTTTGAAATATTGTACTGGTGTGTGTGTGTTAAGTGTTTGAAATATTGTATTGGTGTGTGTGTGTTAAGTGTTTGAAATATCGTACTGGTGTGTGTGTTTAGATTAAAATATTATGTTGGCGTGTGTTAAGTGTTTGAAATATTGTACTGGTGTGTGTGTGTTAAGTGTTTGAAATATTGTATTGGTGTGTGTGTTAAGTGTTTGAAATATCGTACTGGTGTGTGTGTTAAATACACGGTATTTATAACACTTGACACACGCCAACATAATATTTTAATATTAACACATACCAGTACAATATTTATAACATTTAACAGACACCAGCACGGTATTTATAACACTTGACACACGCCAACATAATATTTTAACACTTAACACACACCAGCACAATATTTATAACTCTTAACATACACAAGTACAATATTTTAACACTAACACATACAAGCACGATATTTTTAGCAGTTAACAGACATTATGATACCTTTCATTTATACAGTACGAAAATATTACCTCATATAATTCTTAATGAGGCACGTTACATTTTTACTAACTTACTAAATGCTATGTATTTACATTTACGCTTGCAAACGATGTTGAATAATTTTGATATTAGTTTCATTTTATGAAAACGACGTCAATCAATTATTTACGATAAGTGCGAACGGGAGCCTATGGATATTAAGACTTTCTTTTCTCTGACAAAACACTCTTACAAACGGTTAATCTGTGAATACAGGATTAAACCTTACATTAATATTAATAAGAAAACGGTGCTTGGAAGTTTTATAAAGCTCTGGAATAATGGCGCAGAACTATCCTATTTCAAAACCTTTTGCGCATATACGCTTGAGATGTAGATTGCTTCTTAGAATTAAGCTGCATGCATAACTTTAGGACATGTTGCCCAACCTATGAGCACAACCTGAATATTTTACATACGCTTCTACTTGGCTACATTTGGACATAAAACTAATTCTAAACGTTAGTATATTTGTATGTACTAAATGTTTTATGCAATTGCATAAAAAATTGGGTATTTTTGTAAAGTGTATGTTTGATAAACAACTGACAGTTACGATAGTGCTGCTACTATGAGCATATACTAGTAACGTACTCTTGAAAATTCACGGGAAATGACAAATACGCACAAATCTGTACACGCTTTGTTTTGAGCACCAATTTAAGTGAATTTTGCCAAGTTTTAAGTAAATCCACGCAACCAATCTTGAAATCCCCCTAAACCCCCTTGATCCCCCTTTGTAAATTCACAATATTTCTAAAAACTAAACTTATATATTTATTTTGAATGATCTCTTAATTGTCTTGCAAATTTTCCTTTCAATCCCTGGACCCAGTCCTAAGACCCTCCAAACCCTATGTAAATGTGTGAACTCAGTAAGAGCCCCCAAGGTTCCTATATCAGTTCGTGGACCAAGTCTTAAGAGCCCCCGAACATTACGTTAATCCGTGGGCCCGTTCTAAGAGCCCCCCCCCCTCCAAGAAAAGTCCCCATGGCTTCCATATGAATTTAATCTGTTAGTTTGAAAGTCTCCTTCCTTGTTAATATAAATTTTCAAGCAAATCGGTTCAGTCAGATCCGAGAGTTTATAAAACCTTTCTTGGCCCCTATATTTTCTCCGTATATTATATCATGTGGGGAACAAGAGCTCGCATGCAAAATTTCAAGACGTTTTGTTAAAAATTGTGGAAGGAATTAAAGAACTCAAGATATACATACAGATATAATGGCTATTCAAGTATTCTATCCCTAAAAGTGCTGTTCTCATGTTTATCTTCAAGATTGTTTTGATTTCATATCTTCTATGACATTTTTTCTTTCCTCTTTACTTTAATTGCTTAATTCTTGTCAGATGACTCATAATCAATGGTTAATGTTATTCTACTGGAACTTCTGTTTAGAAGAAAATATTTAATAAAGTTTAAAAAAACTTTATGCATCAATTTTAATTCCTTTTGTCAAAAGACAGAATAAGGTTATGATAAATAAAGATTTTCCTTTGGTTTCTTAGGTATATTTAAATGTCTTTAATGTATAGAAATTAGTCTTTATTAAACCTTCTGTTTACTCATTCACGTTCTTTTCGCAAAATTAAGCACAAAAACACACTACATTAAAAAAAAACTCTTTTTCATATAAGATAATTTATAATGAATTGTGTATATTTCTAACAAAAACAGTTTTGAGGATTCTTTCACAAAATTTATAAAATATCTCATATATATATACCAAGATGTATCAGACATATGGAAACTTCTACTGGTGTCCTGGATTTAACATTTAATTATCTTCAACTCGGTGTTGAAATTCTGAACGTATAAAGGCTTTAGTCGTATTGTAAGTTTGGTTTTTCAATCTTTATTGTTATCAGTCAAATATATGAGTAATTGAATAAAGTTATACATCATTTTAGGAAGAATTCAATTAGGCGTACTTCAGAATTTTGTGTCCGGACATTGAATCAATATTTTCTGTCCTCACATGACAATAACTCTAAGATCGGAAGACCTTTTCGAATATTGGGTAAAAGTGAATTATAACTTCAAAGCTGCTATCTCAGATCAAGGCAGTTTAAGCATCTTACGTGTAGGGTATGTCGAGAAAACGCAATTGAAAACTGTATTGAAAAGGTATACTTGAGGGCCAAATATATTATCCCTTGGGTGGTAATGAAGGCAAGATAAGAGGAGAAACATGGTAAGTAAAGCTTTCTTTGTTCCTCAACTCAACAAGATGATAAATCCTCCTCGAGACAAATTACAGTAGGTTTGTTCATGAAAGAAGGCATTTGTTTCAGACACTTATGTTTGTCCTTAGACAAACCTTTTATGGTCGGTAGACAGTAAAGCAGATAAAATAGAAAAAATAAAAACGACATGTATATATCCTGAAGTATGTGTGTGTTTGTGAAGTTACTGCTGGATGAATTAACGCACGTGCTCGATTCGATGCCTTTGTTATTTACTTAGCCATTAGCAATAAGATTAGGGGGGAAATAGCTCTGAAATCCTCCTTTAAAAATTCACGTCTTAAACAACAATAATAAGACATTTAAGGAAACTCAAAATTGTTTACAATGGCAATATCTCAGTTGCAACAGTTTTTCGTCCAAAGTTAATGTGTAGTTTATAAAATAACAAGCACGTAACCAGAAGAAAAATATCGTGTTCTTTTTTATCCGAAATCACAATGTGAAAATAACATAAATAGTTTAAATTACAAATTATAGTATTCTTCGTACTTGGGCTATTTTTACGTACATTAATTGTTAAATACTCAAAAGTTTCAACTTCTAATAGAACTGTATCAAACACTGTATTATTGTTTTTTTATGTATTGCTCATTGCATTGTTGCCCGATGAAGACTCCGGGAAGAGGATCGAAACCTTGCAAATAAAAGTATTTTAAAGTAGAGAAAAGTTCGTGTATAATTCTACAAAACATTGTATTATGTTGTCATAGTATGGTATTCATAGCTTAAAAGTTTAAAGAAAAATAGCTTTGTAGATCTTTATACTGACGTTTGAATTATACGTATTTTATCATACGTTTTTTGACACATCGACTTATATATGCAAGTTTTGTCATTATTAATGTCATGCGCAGTGGTGATTTTTCTTCAGCTAAGGGCTACTCACATATCTATAACAATAATCGAGGAAATTCATACCATGAATGAAACCTTATACGTTCAAATAGAACAGAGTAGTTTGTCTCTATCAAATATTATTATCCAGAATCGATGTTATAAAGACATTTGAGGTTTCTACTTACCCCTGGTAATGTCTTCTGCTCGTGCAGCGCCATCTGTGCTTGAATTGCACTTTCCCGGGCACAGTAGGTTAAAAAGGCACAACCTGAAAAAACGAATTACTATTGACCACGTTTTGATTTTTATAAACTATAAATTTGAGTATAGGCTTTCTGTATGTCATATCTATATATTCCCTGACATGTTTCCAATTTGTTAGGATTAACAAAACGAAGTTAATGAAGGCAGGAAAGTAGTTTTAATAGAGTTACACTAAATTTAACTGGTGTAATAGCAGCATCTAGATTTATCTATAAATAACTATGCGTAAGTAACAAATAAAGAAGTTGGAGGAGTAAGAAGTAAAAAAATGAATTAAATGGAGCACTAAATTTAAATATATATATCTTTCTATCATTTATTTATTACTGGAATCTAATAACCTAACACATAATATGCTCAGTATAATGTAAGTTATTCTACAAGGCGAGTTTATGTCCAGCGATGTTTAAAACGGCCACCTAACCTGTTTTATATTGGAACAACGTAAGTTATTGTGAGAGGTCAACTTGAGACTATTATTTTTTAAAACGGCCTACTAATTTTTTTTACCGGAACAATGAGGTCAGCTTATGCCAAGCGTTGTTTAAAACAGCCATCTAACTTTTTTTATTTCTTCGTCTGTGTTCAATTTAAATATAACCATACTTAAAATAACAAAAGTCATCTATTAGAGGATTTTTAAAACAAACATGTAATGATTCATCGTGCTTTACTTCATAATCTCCCACCCCCTGTCCCCGGCTATGTTCTTTCGGTGTATTTTAGGACCAGGGTGTCGTGTTCCATAGCAATATGTTGGAGTAACAGACCAGAATATTGTTTGTATCATATGAGTACTTTCTAGATTGTTCCCCCATTTTTACTTTTTTACAAGCTTCCATTTGTATCACAGAAAATGTAATTATGCAAAATCGAAAGGAGGTGAAAAGTTACGCTGGCAATATGTATGGAAAATATTTTTTTCCTCGAGTATAAAAATTACTTATTTCAATTTAATAAACTGTTAATAAACATTAAGACCATTTACAACAAATTTGTTTAAATGTGACCACAACCTGTTATGTGAGCTTTTATTGTTCTCGATTTGAATTATAACCACCAGTGTTATGAGTCGCAATGTAATTTCGAAATTGTTTTCTTGATAGCTGTCGCTTTAATAAGAACATATTTGAGAAATGTTTTATTTTACTTTGGAAATGCGTTACAATACGGGAAATTCGTTGAAAGTTAGTGTACCAGTTACAGTGAAACAGATAGAGGTGTAACTCCTTTTAAAGTCGCAAAAAACATTAAGTGTGGAGCCAAAATTAGCTAATCTAGCATCAACTAAAAGTAATCTATATTTAATATTTTCCATAAGGCCTGTTTCTTTAAAGTATACGTTTTTTGTTGTTGTTGTTGTTTTGGTGCAAATAGCGCATCAAATTAAATCGTATGAAGTAAATGTATTAATAACAGCAACCTGAGAAACCTGAGTGCTTTCAAAAGATAGAAATTTAGATATCTTAAACTTATCTTCTTAACAAGAAATGAAAAAAATGTGAGTTGTAAATGCCAATAATCACTCTTTTTCTCTGCCAACTTTAGGGCTAACATTGCTGTTAAATTTGCTACGAGAAATGCAGTTTTTTTATGTTTCTGTAACTTTCATTCTAATTTTCGAAATGAGAACTCTCAGAGCATAACTTAATCTATTCGGTTACAAATGTTTAATACCTTATAAGGCATAAGTATGATGGTGTTGTCATAGCTTTAGTTGTTTTATTAAAGATACTTATTTGAAGTGGACTTGATTTTCTAAAGTGTATATGAAAATACAGCAGAATGAGTTACAGTATAATATCTAAACATATATCAGTATCAATTGCAACCATACAAAATATAATATTACTTGCATTTAAACAAATAGAGCATTCCAAACTATCTAGTAAATAGTGACTTTTCATCGCAAATGTCATGCAAAAGAAACAAAAAACTTGGTCAAATATCTACTTCCCGACACAGTTTTGCTGTGTTTAGTGCTAATTTTCACATTTCTGCAGACAGACGTGGAATTTGAAAGATTCACACGAACCGGAAGAGTTAGTAGGTTGGATTTTAAAACTGCTGTATTGGGATGCGATAGAGGTGAATATATCCACATTCTGTTTTATATTTAGAAACTAAAACGTTATTTTTCTTCACGGGAATATAAAATTGTGCTTCTGACGTTGAACGCTGTGTATACATATAAGTTACACATCACAAGAAAATAAGCTTTAATAGGTCGATTAGCTTTATCTTGGGTGAGTTATCTAGGCTAATCAAGAAAACTACGGGAGTCAATTGTGGCCAAGTGGTTAGTGCATCGGCCTATGGATCTGTGGGTTCATTATTTCAATCCCGTTACAGCCAAAAACAACAAAAGTAGCTTTCGGTTTTGGGGCCCGTAAGGGCGTTATAATAGTTACATTCAACTCCCATTATCCGATCAGACAAGAGTAGTCGTCCAAGTAGCAGTGGTGCTGTCGACTAGCTGTTTGTTTGGATCGGGTTTTAGATCCTTTCTATGGATCTGGGAGGGTAAGGTTCTAACTTAGACCTCTTCTTCTCTCATGAACTATTGTTAATCTTGGATGCTATGGAATTCAGTAATTGGCATGCTGATGATGGAATTTCTTTTCTAATTTTTAGTATTCTTTTGAGGGTCATTTCCATGAATTTTATCTGATTATATGGGATTATATGATCTGGATACGGGTGACTTATTTGCTTCTTAACCCTGTGTATTTGTGTATTATGGATTTTGAATTACGTAGTTCACGAATAGTTGGATTATGTATGGTATTACTAGTGTAAAGCGTTGATTGACAATTGCTATAAAAAGGGTGGTACTATATAGTAAAGTCAAAGAAGGTATTTTTGTTTGCGTCTATAATTGGATTCACTGTTTGTTCTTATCTCGTTTGACTGCTTTCACTCTAGTCTATAATTTCAAAATTAGGGACGAGTTAGTGCAAATAGCCCTCGAGTAGCTTTGCGAGAATATCCGAAAAGTTGTTTGTATGTTTGAACATAAGCACAAAGTTACACGAGGGGTTATCTGTGCTCTGACCACCACGGGTATCGAAACCCGGATTCTAGCGTTGTAATTCCGCAGGCACACCGCTGTGCCACTGGGGGGGGGGGGGCTATCCGAAAACAACAAACTGTACTTTTAGGCCTTTTCCTCCACTTATGTAGTCATGTGGACCTGTTACCACTTTGATACAAGTATCACAGTGCAATAGCCAGAGTTCGAGGAACTTATTAAACTTGAAAGCTGAGGTAATAAGAACAAATACGTTGAGCCACAAGTAACAAACTGCTTTTTATTTTGAACCGGACATAAATGTTAGACATATATAATGATAAAAGGTTAAAACTTAGGGAAGACAGCTTTACGCGCAATCGAAATAACAAAAGATCTACGAATTTACAACAACAGGTACTTTAGTGTACAGTTTTAAAGATAGCAATTGCAATCCTCGTGAGTTTACCAAGTAAGTAAGGTTTGTTTGTTTTTGTAACTTGTTTCCGTAGTTACATGCTTTAGAGGATCTTACGTCACTTCCGTTCAAAATAAAAGGTAAACCTGGCTGATATTATCTACATTCTTCGTATGTGCTTTATAAATATATCATTTTCGAAATAAATATATCAACCATTTTTATTCGCTATTATAGGATCAGTGACAGAAGAGATGAAGAAGAAAATAAGAATGTTATCATATAAAAGCATTACTCATATTTTCTCCAATTAATTAGTTTTAAAGATCTTTCTCTCTCTGTTTGTCTTTAACTATATGTCTCTGAACGCCCGTTTGTTTGTTTTTCTCTTTCTATGCCTGGCTGTTTCTCTGTTTCTGTCTTTCTCTTTTTCTTCCCCCCCTTATCTCTGTCACTCTTACTCTCTGCATCTGTCTGCCTTTATGTTTCTGTCATTCTCTCTCTCTCTGTCTATCCATCTTTGTCTTTCACTCTCTATGCTTTTTTTATTCCCTTTGCCTTTATTTTTCTTACATTTTCTCTCTAGATAAATATATAATAAACTCTTCACGTTAAGCTGTAACTCCCATTTATGTAGCAGCTATCTTTAATATCCTTCTCAAAGGAAGATAACGCGCAATCGTGTTGTGTGCTAATATATACTATTATGTAAAGCAACAGAAGCATGTATAGCTACACTTATACTCATGTTTCAGACTTTAGCACGAAGCATATCAAAATACGATAATAAAGCATATAAGAAGCAAAATGATATTATCTATAAACTTAGAAATAAATATACACACAAAGTACCTTCGTGAACAAGGTACAATGACGTCTCAAGCCAAAATGATTCTTAGAAAAAAATAGGAAGGAAGATTTCTAAAAAAAAAAAAGATAAAATTAGAACAGCGGATTAGAAGAGAAAATTTACAAATATGGCTTTTTATTATAAAAAAAAACCACACAATGTTATAAGCTTTTATGAAAACCACACAATATTACAAGCTTTTATGAAAACCACACAATGTTATAAGCTTTCAGAAACAAACAAAACAATTATTTTTATAAATTAGTTTCTGTAACATGCCAACAGGCTGTCTTGTGTTACTAAAAGTTGCCAATTACCATTGTATATATATATGTGTGTGTGTGTGTGTGTGTATTTATTTGTAAAAGCTTAGCGTTTAATATATATAGTACGTATAAGCACCTAAAACGTTAACTTGTGGTGTTTCCAAACGTATATGTGAACATGATATTCAATAATACAGCTACATGAAAACTACGACAACCAAATATATGATTGCATCATGTTTGTTCAAGTAAATGAACTCCAGTTAATCCAAAACAACCAAGTGTTTGATTCACAACATGCTCAAGTAAGTCAATTCCAGTTAATACAAGACGAACAAATACATGATCGCTTCATGTTCAAGTAAATCAACTCTAGTTAATTTAGAAGAACCAAATTTCTGATTCACAACATGCTCAAGTAAGTCAATTACAGTTAATACAAGATGAACAAACACATGAT